ACTTATTGGTCTTAATTCACATAAAGTCATTAGATAGAAGACAACAGCCTAACACCATAGTATGTTTTGACACATTTTCGATAATTTAGTTAGAAGTTCGCAGAGAAAAAAAGAGAGTTTATTTAGTTAAAAGCTTCCTAACAAAATATCAACAAATTAATGTAGTGTCTAATAAGAAACTTACTCTAACTTAACATTTTTCTTTTTTTTGGAGTCGTTTTGTGGATCTCTGGGAGTCCCAAACCAACGTCCTCATGCTTTCTCAAACCATGTCATGTCTTCCTCTTAAAGGTTTTTTTCTTGTCAATTTCTATTCTTCAGGTCTTTTGTGAGTGTATGTATATATAATGTTTCATTACTCACTATTAGCTTAGAAGTTGTATATATAGTTTTTGATGAATAGTTTTAACATCTCAAATTATATTTTTTAACACATTTTAACATGCAGAGGAAGTGAGTTCTTCAATGCCTATATTTCGTTTACTTAATTTGAGATTAAAGGAAGACATGTATATTGATAGGTTAAACACAACCCACCACGTTGAGTTTAATTAAAAATAGATAAAGTTCTAAATTATAGTGCATAACCAAACGAAAAAGGACCACATAAAACATAAGGAAATGTAATGGTGATTTATGTTTTCTAGGTGGATCTAATCTTAATCGTGTCCTCTTCTTTCCATTTTTTGGGTCAACAATCTGATTGTTTGATGCTGAACGCCCTCCTTCTGGTACAGCAGATGCCGGGACGGTCCCAGGATTGGATATTAGTTGGTCAGAAAAATTAAAATGTCACTGGTGGGAGTCAAACCAAGATTCTTGAGGGTTTAGGAGCTGTGTTTTACCAACTCTACTGCCTAATCTTTGTTGATTTCTTATACGAATCATTATATTATTGACCTGAACAATCCCACATGGCAGTGACGTGGCAGAAAATGCAGTCCCTACTGGCTGATTAAATTGGCTGACGTGGCATAGCTCATATGCTCTTAATAAGAGCTTTTAAAGATAGTAGATAGATAATTGTACTAGGGTAAACCTGCTCTATGGGACAGGTAAGTAAACAAATGAATAATATATGTGAGAAAAGCTTGGATGAATGAGAAAAGCTTGACCTGACGAAGACGGTGGATCACGAGGACAAGGTTGAGATTTCACCTGACGATGACTTGGATGAATGAAGCAAGATGGAACTTACTCAACTCCTCCAAGATTGTGATGATGATGATGCAGTACCAACGCATGTTGTTAGCAACAGTGACAAAGAAGAAGAAGCAGGTGTATCTGAGAAAACCTGCAACAGCAACAACTTTGTAGAAGATGAGAAAGTGGATATTGATTGGGATAATTTTTTTGTATTCGATGAGGAGCTTAGTGATGAGCAGCTCGATCAGTTGATTAGTAACACTGGCAAAGAAGAAGAAGAAGAAGAAGATCAGACTGTATGCAACAACAACAACAACTTTGTATCATTACCTGAAGTTTCAGGAAGAAGCTTGGAAGAGGAGGCCATGGATATTGATTGGGATACTATTTCTTCATGTTTTGCATCCAATGTCGTTGAGGCGCTTAATGATGAGGAGCTCTATCAGTTGATTTATAACTAAGTAAATCTTTTGTTTTGTTTAGAGACAATTAATTGTTCATGTAATTTGTTGAGAGTAGTATGTACACGGTTTGGGCTCGATCAGTTTTCTCAGATAGATGTGAGAATATTGATCGAACTCATACCAGGTAAATTGGTTTGTGTCTCATTGTCTTAAATGAACTAATGTAATAAAATGTTTGTTCAAGTAATATTTGACTTTGTCTACTTCTTCTAGTTATGTTCCTGCTTTTTTTCTTATGGCAGTGATCTTCGCTTGCAGCTTCAGTAAGAAGTTTGAACCAATTGACAAGTTTATTAAACAAACATACATAGGGGATATATAACTGAGAAGTGAGCTTCACATTGTACTAATCAATCTTACAGAATTGAATGTTGTGAACAGAAGCTGGATCTTCTAGTACATAGCCAACACCCTCAACAAAGTACAAAAGACTCTCTGCAATACAAAGCATGACGAACAACCAAACACACTCAGTCTCTTCATCTTATACTATAGTCTAGAACTGCAAAACCTCTTTAAATGCACTTAAGAGTCTTCACTTCACACACGCCAATTTACACAACTACTATCCTTCCTCCAATCTGAGAGTGTCTTGTCCTGAAATTTATCTGCGAAGATGGAAATGGATTCAGTGAAAGGCTATGCTTCTCTCAAGGATATAGATGGATATAACGTTTTATGTTTCCTTTTAAACAAACAGAATCAAAGGTCAAATAGCCCAAACTGCTTCTGTTTCTATCTTCAAATCCTGTGAAAGGATGTGCTTGTGCAGTGTTTCAGTTCTTACCCTTGCTTGACTGCTAATCACATTAATGGAAAGCCTTCCAGAAGTATTTGTTTCTGTATTTGTCAATAGCAACAAAATCTATGGTCACTCACGTTAAAAATTAATGGAAAGCCTGCCATAAGTATTTTCGATACTCAAAACTTAATAAAAACGGATCTTCACCTCAACAGAGTAAAAAAAAGAGACTGCTACATTTGTCAATACAAAGCATGCAGCGACACAAACACACTCTGTCTCTTTATATTATTACTGAAGTGAGTCTAAATAAGTGCAAATTTGAACTCTTTAAAAGCATTCAAGTTTTCACTTCATAGATACCAATTTTCAGAAGAACCCTCTCTCCATGCTTCTTCCAGGCAAAGCTCAGTAACAACAAATGAAGAGTTGGTATCGTCTTGAAGATCTTGACCTCTCCAAATTTGTATCACCACCTGTTCACACTCTCTCTGTATTGAATTCTCAGGTAAGTATTGAAGCGGAGAGTTCCCTGTCCGTTTGTGGAACTTTAGAAAGAGGCGACATTAATGCAGTGAAAGGCGCGGCTTCTCTTTAGTATATAGATGATCAACTTATTGCTTCATTGATAGATTTAGCTGGAGATAGACCTCTTAATATTGAATGTGGTTTATTGATATACTGAGTAAGAAGTTAAGAACATACCCTATGAGAAAATTGAGCTACCATACAATGCTGCACATCGCTCTGGAATCTGAGTTCAAGGACATGACTCAATGGTTGTAAAGACACATGTATTTGATAGTTTCTCTCATATAAATCAAGTGATTTTGTTATTAACGAAAATTCGGCAAGCATACGTAGTTTTCTTCAGATGGTTTATATGCACATTTGGCAGCATAGTTCTTTAAGGCAAAGAAGATACCAGAGATTGCCAAATGCAGAACAATGACAGAGGAAGAGTTCTATGACTTATAAGGCACTAGCTGCTTGGCTTGTTCATGCTTTTCTGGTCAAGGATTTTTATTCATAAATCTTAATTTATTAGTCTTTTATCAGAATCAAGAACCGGATGGGCTTTCCTATATAGTATTCAATTCATTGGTCAATCTGCTACTCCGTCTCTATTTCCTTATTCGTAGCGGCTATGTTATGGATATTTTATGTGTTGAAGATTTTCAAATTTATCTCAAATCCATTTCGCCTAAAAGAAATGCAAAATATGAGGATCGAATACAAATAGTACTAAAAGACTTGAAAGTACTTTTTGGATTGCTGAAACTGCTAAAGACAAAGACATGATAATAATAAATGAAACCAACCTGACACTAAAATGCAGGAAAAATGGATTTTGCATATCTTGTTGATGGTTTTGGTATTTGATTAGGAGAATTGTGGGAGTGGCACATGTGGAAGACTTTGAATCGATCAAAGAAGATAAAAGAACGAGCGGTTTGTGAGGGTTTGTGAGAGAAAGGCGTTAGAGTTTGGGAAGATGCTTCTTAAGGAAAGGAGAAAGTTGAAGTGTATTGGTTTTAGCAATTCAACAACAATGATGAGACCTACTTGTCCTGTTTTTTTTGTGTGTGTTGTGTTCTAATGATAAAGGAAAAACAAAAAGATGTTGAAACTTGAAAATCTGTTGCTTTTTGATCATCTTTTTGGTTGTAGTTGTTTGCCATTGCCAAGAAAGGTCTCACTCTTCAGTATAATGAAGACAACATATTCGTCATTTGCTATGTATCCACAACCAACTGAGAAAGAAACTTGTAGATGGTATGAAACAAACAATCCGAGGAAGACGAAGAAGGTTTTGTGCTAAATTGCAGACACCATCGGGTTCACACCATTGGAAAGTTCATGTATTTCCTACAAATCGTATTGATTCTCCAAATGTGTTGGACATCAAATCTTTGTCTTAGGCAGCACGCTTCTCAATGAGCTTCTTCTCGACACATTCACGAGGATGTTTACTTGTCGCATTCTGTTCTAAGTCCAGATCTTACAGAACTCGTACCACTTCTTCACTTGACTTACCCAATACTACAACAACAACAAAATCAGATCAAATTCGATTTGAAAAAAAAGAGGAGACAACAACGAATATGAAAAATATCTAAGATTTGTAGTCTACAAGTTTCGTAATTCGAATAGATTCGTCCAAAAAAAAAGAAATCAATAAAAGAAAAGATGCAACAGATTTGCGAGTTTTGATTTACCTCATTCATGGTTGTCGATTGGGAACATGAAGAACTAAACCGAATTGAAGAATCCAATTGAGAGAGAGAGAGAGTGATTCGAAACCCTAATTTTCTAATCGAAACCTAAAGAGAGAGAGGTAGTAAATAAGTGATTTGGGGGAAAGAAACTAATCAATTCGGGTTTTGATTTACATTCGAACCGAGTGACAAAAAAAAATCATTCTAACGTTGGTACGAATAAAATAAATTAGGTTAAAGCGAACCGGTCTCGGTTTAATAATTAATTGTGACCACGACGGAGCCTATAAATATCACCGATACATAGAAAGCTTTTCTCACTTTGCTCTCTTTTTTTCTGTTTAGTTTCGTTGCGACTTTAAAATTTTTAGGTTTTCGTTGCGATTTCAAAGTTTTAGGGTTACGTGAAAAGAAAGAAAGAAAGAAAGAATGGTGAAAAGAGGAGGTACGAAGAGGAAGTCAGATATGAAGAAGATCACTGACAAAGCATCGCGAGCTACGACTTTCTCCAAACGCAGAGACGGTCTCTACAGTAAAGCGGCTCAGCTTTGCCTTCTCTCCGACGCTCAAATCGCCATCTTAGCGACTCCTTCGTCTTCAAACTCCAACGCTTCTTTCTTCTCCTTTGGTCACTCCTCCGTTGATTCTATCGTCTCTGCTTATCTATCCGGAAAGAGACTTCCTCCTGTTTCGCGTGATACCAAAGCGATGAGAGAAGACTTAGGTATATGTATGTCTCGCATGGATCTAGGGTTAGGGTTTTGGTGGAACGACGAAAAGCTTGTCAATTCTAAGAATCGGGAAGAGATTATGGAAGCGATGAAGTCAATGGAAGTACTCATGAGCCATCTCAAGGCATTAAAGGATCAAACCCTAACAACAACGGTGGACGAGGACAAGGTTGAGATTTCACCTGACGATGACTTGGATGAATGGAGCGAGATGGAACTTACTCGACTCCTCCAAGATTTTGGTGATGATGATGATGCAGTACCACTGCCTGTTGTTGTATCTGAGAACACCTCCAACAACAACCACTCTGTATCTCCTGCAGAAAGAAGATTGGACGATCTTGATTTTGATTTTGATTCTCTTTTTGAAGGTTTGGCATCCTATGATGATCAGAAGCTCTTATGGTCTGATGATGAGTTATTGTTCATGTAATTTTTAGGAAAGTATATGTTCAGTTTGTGTCTCTCGATCAATTTTCTCAGATGAGATAAAATTGATCGAACTCAAACCAGTATGTGTGGTTTGTGTCTTAAATGTCTTAATGGAACTCATGTAATAAATTGTTCTTTCAAGTAAGTAAAATTTGAGTTTGTCTACTTCTTGCTATGTTCGTCTTGATTTTGCAAACGTTAATTATGTTCGCTCGCATCTTCAGCAGTGAGTTTCCTATTGTACAATACAAAATTGAATCTAGCACAAACCTTAGATAGAGCACAAACCTTCAAGAAAAATAACTGCCACGATGTGAAAATAGACAACAAGTTGTCCCAGTTTGTGAAACATTAGATTGAGAATGTTTCATGTTTAAACATGACATTTCACTTTGTAATGAGGAGAGTTTCTGCCTTCAAGATCTGTTGATGCAACAACTCCTCTTAACAGCCCGGCTTTTTTGCTGCCTTCTACGCCTAGAGGATCGGAGGCCAACAACAAGAGAAGAGAGACTGTAGCTGCTCTAGGAGTTCAACTACGGAAGATAAAGATCGAGGCTTGAGCGAGTAAAGAGAAAGTTGAGAACAACACCAATGTTATAATGTAAATGCAGAGGATTGAGTTTGATAAAAAGAGCGAGTGTGTGGGAAGAAGCAGAGGACTGGTTTTTGTCCTTTTGAGTAAAACATGATTGAATTCTTAGACTCTCTTTTGTGTACTATATGGATATATAAATATAATGAATTTTGTGTGTTTCATAGGCTCAAAAGAAATAGAATGGCAAAAATTATTACTTACGTTAGGTCTTGCCTATTGTCTCATTGAACAAATTAAACCAGGACTTATACAAAACCGAACATCAAATGTGCTAGTGGCCATCCATCTATAGAATTACATTTGAAATATATATGGGATTTAATAATTCATGTGTCTTCTGAAGTCCATATTATATTAGTTTATGGCATATTTGTGAAAGGTGTAGCAGATTAAATGATCCATGTGAAGATAGTTAAATCTGTTTTTAAGAAACCTAATTGTATGTTAAAAAAGGGTAAGAAAAGTAAAAAGGAAATTGTTAATGTCGGTAGACTTGAAAAAAATGGAAATTGATATGATCACATTCTTAATCCATCTTTTATTATAAATACATAAGTCAACCCTGACTACCAACAAAACAAAACAACTGGTGTAGAAAATTAGGTCAAACCCACTGATAGTGTTGTTTGAGTAAAGTAGGTAATCATGAGAACGAATTTCGACCACGAAATCGATAACAATCCTCAACCGGAAGATGCTGGAACGATCACAGTCACAGCCACGATCTTTGGGGATGATGATGACTTTGACACGCCATACACGACTAGGTCGCTTTCCATACAAGACTTCTTCGGTGGTGGTGATGAGAACGAAGACTCCGAGTGTCAAATCATACAAGAATTGAAGTGTTTCCTGCAGGTGGAAGCAGATATCGACGAAGAGGTTATCAGCGATGCGATGAAGAAACTAGTTGTCTACATTGATGGTGTAACTTGTTCCACAAGTAGTAGTGGCTATTCTCTTGGATGTGCTTTGGCGGTTCAGTTGGATCTTTTCCCTGATTCTCAGTCTCAGATTGAAGAAGCCGTTCAAGTCTCGTTCGATGAGACCAGTTATAACACCCGGTTTAGACCCGCCAGCAAGGTCGTGGTCAAATCCCTAATAAGGAAAGTATACAAGAAGAAGATCGAAAAGGAAAGCAGGAACAAGAATAAGAAGATTAGCTTGGAAGAGTGCACAATTTGTATGGAAGAGTTTAAGGATGGTGGAAGACTTGTGCCTTTAGCTTGTGGTCATGAGTTTGACGAGGAATGTGTCGTGAAGTGGCTAGAGACAAGTCATGTTTGTCCATTATGTCGTTACGAACTGCCATGTGAAGATCAGATGAGTTAAGTGATTGATCGGTTTCACAACTAGCTAGTACGAGAGAGAATGGAGATTTGACTTAGGAGGGTTACTTATTGTAATTAGTATCCTCTCTTTTAAAAAAAAAATTCCATCGGTTTGTTTGCTACTTTGAAGTATGTTGTGTATACTTATCATGATAACATCCTTGGTTGTCTCAAAAAACTTGGCTAACATCTACAAAGAAACCTTTTTTTTTCAATTACATTGATCATTCTTATAAACTGCTGCAATCAACCTGTGTAGATTCTGTTGTTGTATATTCTATTGGAAAAAAGTTAAAAGGCTTTTGGTCTTGTTAAGAAATTGTTCTGAAGAGACAGAGGTTATAGAAATTACAAAAGGCTGTAAGTAACTAACCATACATTGTATTGACAAAAGTTGGTTGTGTTCTGTAATCATGTACCTGCAAGATGAAGAAGGGAACAATCTTTCGTAAGTAACGAGTTGAGGAAACTGAAAAGAAATACTGAAACTTGGGTCTAAATTTTGGATAAGCTTCAATAGAAAGCTTAGGAAACAAGTTATTCATTAAAGGAAAGATTGAATAACAAAAGACTAATAGATTTAGGATTAAGATAAGTTAAAGTTAAGATTCCTAAATCTCTATGTAATAGGAAAATATAAGGATCATATAAGCTATATAAGGAGAGCTTAATGTAAGGTGTTCTCAATAAGAAAAGCATAAGAAAGTTAAGGAAGATAAATAAAAAGTTGTATGATGCATTTCATGGAACAAACATCCAGAGGTACCATTGAGAAAGTGAACAAAGATATTTGGTAGTAGACCGTCGCATACTATTAACAATGTGGTTCCTTAGCACAAACAAAATCATCATGTAGATTAGCACCAAGTGAGTTACATGTGCTTCTAACAACCGAAAAAGACCGTAGCAAGCTAAGAATCATGGTATTCTCAGGTATAGAGATCATGGATCTAATTAACTCACACTCTCTTTTCCCTCTGCTTGTTTCTGCTCTGCAATATACAGGTCAACTCTCAAAGCATTACTTCCCCTTCTCCGTCTTCTCCACTATCCATTTCTGCACATGAACCTCCATGGATTTAAACCATTCTCCTAGTGTCATTATCTTTAAATCAACCTTCTTATTAATCCTGGACTCCTCAGCCTTTTGTTCTTCATCATCACACTCACCACCTGATGTCTCCAATCTAGCCTCCTCGCTCTTACAGTCGTCAACTCTATTTTGTAACTTCTCTGCCAGGTTCAGGTTCTCCTCTTCTACTAGTGTGCTATTCCTTGACTCAATCTCCACCTCATCTTCTCTCTTAGATGCCTCATCATCTTCCTTATCACTTGTTTCACTGTGACCTTTCTCATCTTCAACATCCTTTTCATTTTTATTTTCTTCTTCAACCTCGTCATTTCTATCTTCCAACTCTTCTACAGCGCTCTTATGCTCCTCCACCTGAACATTAGTCTCAAAGTTCACTGACTCCTTAGGAGTAGATACTCTAGCCATGGTTGCACAAGCTTTCATGACGCTAGAATCAGAGTTGTTGATCACAGGGTTCCAACTCTGAACTACTTTATCAACAGAACACCGATGGATATCTTTGGGAATTGGATCTCCTAGACTCAAATCATTACTGGTGTGTGGAAACATAGGAGGAACCAGGTCGACAATGCAGTCCATCTTGTTGGAGGGATCGAGACACAAATCTGGTTCCTCTACACGATCCACTAGCCTAGCACCTGTGCATACACACATTTACATGAATTATTTGAAAATACAAACAACCCAAAGCGTATTAATCATTCGCCTTGGTCGTGTGAACATGTCACATAGATTGAAACATCAAAAGGGTTTTCTTTTCTACACTTACATTCTCTAACTTGTTCATAGACAGATTCGGAGAGATTGAAATCAACAGTGTAACGCATAAAGCTAAGGATCTGAGCGGTGGAACTGTTGGTCTCAACTAATCTCCGAAGAGACACTCGTCGCGAAACGGCCATCTCTCGAACAAATCCCAGAGCCGAAACAGAACTAAGAGGAGTCCCAAGGACAGAGATTTCTCTGTCCAAGTAAGGCGAATCGATCCAGGGCCGTTGGCAAGAACACCATAGCCCAAAGGAGATATTGGAGAAGTGCGTTTGCAGAGCTCTGTTCACAAAGTGGCGGTACCTCCACGAATCTGCAACCAGAGTTTCGAAATCGCGCTCGAAGCTTCGGAGACAAAGTTTAGGAACGTAGCTTGGTTCCAACAGGTCGAAGAACGAAACGAGGATTCCAAACGGTTCGGATGGATCAAGGATCCGACCCGGAATCCATGAAGAATCTGAAGGGTTTAATCTCACCCAAACTAGCTCCCCTTTCTTCCACATTCTTCTCTGAAGAAATTAGGGTTTCTCTTTGAATTTGATGATTAGGGTTTCTCTCTGTGACAAAGAGAAAAGGATGTGTAGTTTAATTTATGGACTATAGAACTTATTTCGCGCTTTGTCAACGTTCCAACTTCCTCCTATATGTTTATTGGTAAAACCTTAAGTATCTTTTAAGTGGACCATACTAAATTTTTAACTATTTTCTACTCTATTAAAACAGAGTCATTCTTTTTATCTACTGATACACGTTGTCATTTAAATTTGCACCCTTTCTAGAATGTTATAACTAATATAATGCATATAATTGATTGAACCGTATTACTTAAATTAAACCAACACAATTAATGTAAAGAGAAGACCTTAATGTAAACTACCTTCAAAATACGGCAGGTATCTATGTGTATACCGAAAACACATATTTTCTCCTAGAAATATGGAATGTTCTAAAAAAATATATATCATCAAAATATTGAATATGGAAATCTACTAATTATACTTAAATTAAACCAGTGGTTATTTATAGAATATAGTCTTGGACTTACTTTTGTTTTTTGAACAAATTATATAGTTTGGTTTTGGGGTTTCGTATTAAGAAAAAAAATCCAAAAACATTGAATAAACTTTTCACCTTAAAAGAACAAAAAAATCACTTATTATTTTCAGACCCAAAAGATATTTAATATTGTTAACAAAACAAAATTATCTATTATTAATCATTTATTTAAATCATGTACTTTAAAACATGTTAATATATATTTTTTATTTTAAATAACAATCAATGTGTTTTGATAAATTTCAATGGTAACTTTTAAATAATTTATTGTTTTATTTTTCTTAAATAATTTACTGATTAAAAAAATATAAAGCAAAACCAAAAAACCAAATCTAAAAACTAAAATCCAAAACCAAAAGCCGAAAACACATGTTATATTTTTTTGCTTTGTTTATTTAAAAAATAAACAATTTCAAATTTTTTTTTTAAATTTGTTATCATATTTTCAGTTTTAAATTAGATGTTCGATTATTTGAGATTTGTTTGTTGGCAATATTAGTTCAAACTAACTCAGCGGGTTTGAAAATTAAAAACCCAAACCAAAAACTGAAAATGAAAAATAGAAACTTAAAAACTAAAAACCAAAAACCAAAATTTAAAAATAAAAACTAAAACTAAAAACTAATGAAAAACAATCATCACCACAAATTTTGGTGAACTGATTTTATATCAAAATATTCTTTAAATTAAGACAAAATCCAATTATATAAATTTTTAATTATAAAAAATTTCCGCGCTTTTCAAACGCGGATCAAGTATTTTAATTAAGGTTCTTCACAATAGTTGCTTCACAATATGTCACAAATGTAACAAGAAAAAGTGTACCTAGATAAAGTATCTCCAAGCCAACATAAGAAACTAGAGGTTTTGGTACAACGATAGTTGTATGTCCAGCATAGGCGAACATAAGAAACTAGAGGTTTTGGTACAACGATAGTTGAAGGGTTGCAAAACATGGCAGTAGAAGCTTCCTGCATATTAATTTGACAATAATTAATATGTAAACAAAGTTTAGGCATGAACTTAATCAAAACAAAACAAAAAAGTGCACCTACACTCTCCAAGGGACATCAAGGACGTCATCTACAAACCCAAGCAAAATCATGAAGCAAATAGATGCCAGTGTTGCATTGTACTCCACAAGCCACTGCAGCATAGAGTATTCAGCCAGATTGTTATAAAATATCTTAAAATGAGTCAAGAGTTACCAACTTCTTACTCATACGACTCTCAAATTCGGTTTTTCCAGTTCAGGTTTAAGTATGTACTTTGGCTTAGGGTAAAATTCCTAGACCTAATGTATAACTCATTTTAATTATTTTTAGGCATCATATGCACAAAAATATATTAAGTTTTGCGATAAAAATGATAAAAGAGGATTACGTTTTCTGCTCTCGATTTGTTTACTATTAACTCTTCATAAGTGATTTAATTTTCTACCTCTATAAAATTGTGCTTTCGTTCGCGTATTTATTTCATTGATATGAGTTTTGTTTTTCTTTTTAACTTCTTCTTAAATTCGGGAAATTATATAAGTGTCAATTTAAAAAGATGGACATGTGTAAAAATTAGTTCCACTACAGATACATATCTAAGAATCAAACTTTTGAAAAAAATCGTCTGCAAACTCTAGATTTTGACCCGCGCTTGAAAAGCGCGAAATTTTTTTATAATTAAAAATTTATATAATTGGATTTTTTCTTAATTTAAAGAATATTTTGATATAAAATCAGTTCACCAAAAATTGTGGTGATGATTGTTTTTTATTAGTTTTTAGTTTCAGTTTTTATTTTTAAATTTTGGTTTTTGGTTTTTAGTTTTTAAGTTTCTACTTTTCATTTTCAGTTTTTGGTTTGGGTTTTTAATTTTCAAACCCGCTGAGTTAGTTTGAACTAATATTATCAACAAACAAATCTCAAATAATCGAACATCTAATTTAAAACTGAAAATATGATACAATTTTTTTTAAAAAAAATTGAAATAGTTTATTTTGTAAATAAACAAAGCAAAAATATATAACAAAGCAAACTCTATTCATAAGTTAGTTGTTCAAATCTAATATATAAATCTGTTATCAAATTTAAGTGCAAACTAAAAATATAAATGTGCTCATGGGGAGTGATTCAAGGTTGTGTGTTTTGTGGAGAAATTGATGAAACTAGAGATCACTTGTTCTTTGCATCCCCTTATTCCTTTACGGTATGGCATGAGTTGGCAAACCGCGTTACTGGTGCTCCACTTGATCCGGATTGGCAAATCACACTAGAGCGCATGGAAGAGCCACAAGGCGGATTGTTGGATTGAATTCTAATTAAGATGTTGTTTCAAACGACTATATATCACATCTGGAGAGAACGGAATGCAAGGAGGTACCACATTAGTTGGATGACATCAGATGCTATGTGTAAGGTCATAGACAAAGCGATGCGGAACCAAATCTCATCCCTTTAGTATCTAGCAGGGCATAACCTGGAAGGGTTAATGCGGCGATGGTTTTTCTACCCTATGTAGTTTTGATTTTGATTTACATTTTTTACTCTTATACATTACGCATAACTTAGTTTAATTAGGCCATGATAGCATTATTATTCTTTTGTAAATGCTCTTTTTCATAAAAGATGAATAAATTTGAAATTTCATCAAAAAAATATATAAATGTGTGTCTAGTATATATTCACCAGTTCAGTCTAAAAATCATCTAATTTTTAAACAACAAAACAAATTACTTATTTTTTAACCTACTCTTTTAAGATTTAGTTTCTTAAGAGTATACAGATAAAAATATATATAATAATTTACCATTCTAGTTTATATATAAACCATGTATAAATTAAAAAAAAATTGATTTATTAAATGATAAACCAGAACACTTATAATAAAAATTTCAAATCTTTCACTCTTACAATTATAATAGCTAGATAGGGTATTATGGAGAAAGAAATATTAGAAAAAATGATCAATTTTATCATTCTTTGAACAAAATCAAAAGAAGGTGATTAAAATCATGTCATGATATTTCATTAAAATCCTTTTAAGAATAAATATAAAGACTAAAATATTTAATCTGAATGAAATAATATATAATGTTTCAAATATTAAAAATTATCTCCATTTAAAGAAGTGTATTTCTGGAATTGTCAGGATCAAATAACATATTAGAAACTATATGGTTAAAAATTAATTTGTATACATAAAAGTATATATATATTAGAGTACTTTTTTTTTAATTTATAGTCATGTTTTTGGTAAATAAATCAAAACAATCATTTTATTTATTTTATATGTATATAATTAAACTTTAGTGATATTGACATATATATATATATATATAGTATATTTTAATATAAATATACATTTTTAATTCATATGATTTTATTAACATTTGTATATTTGTTGTAACAAATATTAAAACTGTACAGAGAAACAGAAATTCCAATTGTATTGAATATTTTCAATCTAATTTTTTTTTATGTAAGATTTTTAATTGAAAATTTTCATATAAGTCTTTTAAACTTTCAATTTATTATTCGGCCAAATATTTTAATGCATTATTTGTTAGAAAATTTCCCAATAAATCATTTAAACCCCAAAGTCATATGACTAAGTAAATAACAACTAATATTTCATTAAACTCAAAATTAATTTTTAAAGTGTTTAATATACACAAATCTAAACAAATATAACAAATCTACGCATATATAAGTCAAATTTTATATTTATTTTTTTAAAAAGTTGAAATTTTGAAGTCTAATCATAAAAATACTATAATATATGTTACCAAACACTAAACCAATAAATAACATGATTCAATTTACATTCACTTCTCTGAAACAATTTAATTTTACTAAATCTACATTAATATAATAAGTGTTTATAATTACATGATTTTCATTTTTCTCTAAATCATTTTAAGATTTACTGTATGAAACAAAATTCAAAAAAGTTTATTCACACGCATAGTTATAATAGTAAAAATAAATACAATTTTTTGTTTGGTCATAAGAAATTTGTTATAATTTCATTAGTTTTTGTGATTACTTTTGTATTTGATTTAATCTTGGGTCTATTTTTTTCATTTAATTAAGTTTTTGATCATTTTTGATAAATTCCCATCTAGTTTTATAATATGTTAGCTATAAATTTATTGTTTAAAGTACATCATAATTGTCTTACGAAAAAAACTGTAGAAAAAAAGCTATGCTGACAGCAGTCTGTCTACAACATTTACAACTCTTTCCAATCAATCCATTATACATCAAATAGTTGTCTTGACATCTTGCTATAACAAAAATTCAGAAAGCATATGTGCTTGTCTTGAGATGGCTTATGCACTTCAAATAGGAAAAAATTACGTTTAGACATACTTTATCTCTGCTCCATATCATTCTAGCATACTTTCTCCATGTCAAGTACTTTTTTGTGTGCTATTGTCTAAATTACCCCCAAA